TGTAGGAATATTTTGAAATAAGAAAGATAGACATAGTTCAAATAAATATTTTGCAAAGGATAGTCTTCACAACCAAGAAATTGCATACTTGTTACAGCATGCCACATCTTTCTTCATTTGTTGAAGTAGTGATTTAACCTTTACAGATCTTCCAGAATATTTGAGATTTTAATTCCTCTTATAGAATCTGTTGCTGATTTATATCCAGATATTTTTAGAGAACTTCAGATACAGGTTTCCCTTGCTTTATGTGGGTTCTGTATGTGCAAATTTGCTTTTATGCGATGACTCTTATTATACCAAAAATTTGTTATATGTGAGGTATATTCATTCTTATGTGATCGGTGTGGTGGAAGCCCACAGTCAGCTGCTTTGTGCGGGGCAGTGTGAGAGTGACACACGCCAGAATATAGTCTCTTGTGTAGCTCTGTGCTCCTCGCTCATTGTTTGCGACACGTGTTTCTGTAGTTGCCATCCCCATTATGGCTTCTAAGCATCCCGCTAGCTTAACATTCACCACCACCCTGTGCTTGTGCATACTGTCTGCTGTTGGTGAATACCAAAATTGTCTTGTAAAAGTGGTAGAAATGGGTCTGGGGGTCAGTACAGTCGAGGTCTTGGAACGTATCTCTATTTGTGACATTGTAAAGTGGATTCCCTTTATGCGAATTCGAGTTATGCGCCGTTTTCTAGGAACACATGTACAACATAAAGCGAGGGAAACCTGTACAAAGTTCAACTCTGTTCTATCAAAAGCTTTTTAATGTCAAATGATAGCAAAAAAAATGGATCTTTGTGTGATCTGGCACGTGAATGGCGCGTTCCCCTGGTGGCTGGCAGGGCACGACTGCGCCAGCGGCAGCAGGAGCCCAGCAGTGGTGAGCGGGGGGCTCCCGCAGATGCCACCAGCACTGTCGGTGGCAGGGGTAGGGGGAGGTGGCGAACATCAACCATGGGTCAGTGACCTCCTGCAGGCACCGCCAGCAGCAGCAGCAGAAGGCAGGGGCAATAAGAGACTGCCTGCAGACGCCACCAGCGGTGCCGGTGGCAGGGTGGTGAGCAGCGACCGCCCACAGGCACCACCAACAGTGTTGGTGGTGCCTTTTTGCAGGGGGTGCACCACCACGCGCAGGGCATGTACGTGCGCCTGCTTGTACCAACTATGTGTCGCCCCTGATCTGGCATGACAAAATACTCTGTGAATTTCATCTGACATTTGTCTGTTCTTAATGAATGCAATTTAATCTCATTTTATGTAAACTGAAACTATGGGTAGCAATTGGTTAGCTAATATCTTAGCTAAAATCTTTATGTCGTTGTTTAGCAGTGATATGGAGCAGTATAACCTAAGGTCTTTTTCAGCTTCAGAGGAGATCAGTTATTTCTTTGTTAATGATGGAAGTTCCTTCTGTATTGTAATAAATTCTTTTAAAAGTGCCGTATAAGGGACTTACTACTACACCTTAAACACCTTGTCAGATCCTGGAGTTCTAAGTGGAATGGAAATTATTAACTTCCTGTCCAAAAAAATGTCCTGTACAACAAAAATTTCCACCGAGAAGGGGTAAATATCAGTCACAAAATCTACTGCGTGATTACTAAAATGAGCTTCTATCTCTCACAAGTACCTAAATTACAGGCAAATTTTCTCTACAGCAGACACCAATGACCCTTAATTAATCAGCTGGCAGGAGATGAAGATACAGCAGGTGAAGCAGAGAACTGTCCCTCCCCGATCAGGGCTACACATTGGTGGTTAAGGCACACTAGTTTGTCAGCACATAAGGTTATTTGGGTAAATGTGTATCTTTTATTTGACCAACTGGATAGCTGGAAAATTGTTCTTTACAAGTGTTAGGGCACAACCACCCTTCTTCAGGCATAGGAAAAGTCTGCTAGTGTTTGTGTATTCTCTAGGGTCAAAAAGAAGCCTAAGCCAATGTGCAAAATGCAGGTCTGTGAAAGTGCGTGGCAGGAAGATCAGAGGGGATTGGAGTGAATGCGTGCGAGACAGGTGGGTGGGGAAACAAAAGCGGGGAATGTCGACCTATGGTAAGACATAGCTGGTAATGTACCTAGTTTGTCCACAGCCTCCAAATCATGTGTCCTGGGCCTGGTCCCTCAATCCACAGAAATCCCACTGGATTCACTTGTTTTTCACATTGTTATTTTGAAGAGTAAGTATTTTGAAAGGTGGTATATTTATTTACAAAAAGCAATACATTTGGATTGGTTTTAACTAATGTATATAAATTGATATGCAAACCACAGAATCTCATTTTCACACGTCTGACTTTTGTCTACTTTTAGGACATTAGTGTGTCATTGGCTATTCTGAGGTGCAGAGTTACAGCACCTCTTTGTAATATGAGTTGTCAGGTTGCGTCAGCTTTGGACACTGGTAGAATCATACAGAGTTTATTTTTGTAGCAGTAGGAAAGTCACTTCTTTATAAAATAATCCAAGTTTAGAAAAGGTCAGATTCAAGAGGAAAAAAGAAGACCTGAATTTCAAACCAAGAACACCTGAATTTCTCTTTTTAACATTTCAGTTTCCAGAACATCTTGGCTTTACTCTTGTAACATCTCTTTTCCTGTAACTCCACCTTTCCTTGAAAATATAGCATGCTATTTAAAACCACTTATCTAGTTCCTGTCCTGTTTATAGTAAACCCATCTGTGTGATATTGTTATCTCTCAGATTAAGAGAAAAATCATAATTAACCTGGATTAACTCAGTATGTCTTTCCTATGCATGATGCAAGGGGCCTAATCCTGCTTCAATATCATGCTTATTTTGATTATAAGGTCTTTCACGCAGGAACCAGCTTTTTAATTACGTAAGTATACAATAGGGCTATGAAAAGTGGGCAGTATTCAATTCAGATTTGGCCTGATTCAGGGGACAGTGGTTCGATTTGCTGATTTGGATCACTGTCCCGATCCAATTCGGCTGAATCTGAAGATTTGATTCTCATTTGGAGAATCAGTGATCTGGCCATAGACATAGCTTTATAGGTTTTTTCTGCCTACCTTAAGGTACCAGGTGAGGCTCATGAACGCTGAGATGATGGGGTGGATGGAGCATCCCACAGGAGCGTGGAGGGGTCACCCTCATGCTCAGTGGCAGACCCAGAAGTGGACCAGAAGTACTTCTGGTCCACTTCCGGGTCCACCACCAAGCACATGGGGTCCCCCTTCTATGCCCTGCCCCAGCTCTGTGATTGGCCATGGGGGAACCCCAGGTGGCCCCCCCAGATGGCCCCCCCAGACCCAGGAGGCACCAGTCACCAAGCCAGGGGCAGGGGGGAGGTCCCCCCCATGCTCTATGGCAGACCCAGAAGTGGACCAGAAGTACTATGTCAAGGAGCACTACACATCCTCTGCCAGCAGAAT